TTTTGGGGGGAAAGGGGGGGGAAAAAACGGGGGGGGGAAGGGGGGGGCAAAAAAAAAAAACGAAAAAAAAGGGGGGGGGGGGGGGGGGGGGGGGGGGGGGGGGGGGGGGGGGGGGGTTTTTTTTTTTTGGGAGGAAAGGAGAGGGGGGGGGAGGGGAAAGGGGAAAAGGGGGGGGGGGGGGGGGGGGGTTTTAAAAAAAAAAAAAAAAACCCCTTTGAAGGGGGGGGGGGCAAAGGGAATTTAAAAAAGGGAAAATAGGGGGGGGGAAAAAAAAAAAAAATTTAAAAAAGGGAAAAAAAAAAAAAAAAAAAAAAAAAAAAAAAAAAAAAAAAAAAAAAAAAAAAAAAAAAAAAAAAAAAAAAAAAAAAAAAAAAAGGGGGGGGGGGGGGGGGGGGGGGGGGGGGGGGGGGGGGGGGGGGGGGGGGGGGGGGGGGGGGGGGGGGGGGGGGGGGAAAAAGGAGGGAAAGAAAAGGGGGAGGGGATAAAGAAAGGGTAGAGGAAAAGAGAAAAAAGGGAAGGGGAAAGATGAAGAGGGAAAAGAAAGGCAGAGAAATGAGAGGGGAGGGGGAGGGGAAAAGATGAAGAGGCAGACGAAGAAGGCTAGAGGAAATGGAGAGGAGGGGAGGGATGGAAAAGACTGAAGAGGCAGACGAAGAAAAGGCTAGAGAATGAGAAGAAGATGGAAAGACTAGAGGAAGATGAGAGAGGAGGGGAGGATGGGAAAGACTGAAGAGGCAGATTTAAAAGAAAGGCTAGAGGAAATGAGAGAGAGGGGGATGGAAAAGACTGCAGAGGCACAAGAAAGGCTAGATGAAATGAGAGAGAGGGAGGATGGAAAAAGACTGAAGAGGCAGATTCAAAGAAAGGCAGGAGGAAATGAGGGAGGAGGGAGGATGGAAAATTGAAGAGGCAGACGAAGAAAGGCTAGAGGAAATGAGAGAGGGAGGAGAAAAGATTGAAAAGATTGAAGAGGGTAACAAAGAAATGAGAGGAAATGGGAGAGAGGGGAGGATGAAAGACTGAAAAGGCAGAGGAAAGAGAGGAGGGAGGAAAAAGAGAGAGAGGGAGGATGGAAAAGACTGAAGAGGCAGACTTAAAGAAAGGGTAGAGGAAATGAGAGAGGAGGGAGGATGGAAAAACTGAAGAGGCAGATGAAAGAAAGGCTAGAGGAAATGAGAGAGAGGGAGGATGGAAAAGACTGAAGAGGCAGAATGAAAGAAAGGCTAGAGGAAAGAGAGAGAGGGAGGATGGAAAAGACTGAAGAGGCAGATTTAAAGAAAGGTTAGAGGAAATGGGAGAGGAGGGGATGGGAAAAGACTAAGAGGCAGATGAAGAAAAGCAGAGGAAATGAGAGAGGAGGAGGATGGAAAAGACTGAAGAGGCAGATTTAAAGAAAGGCTAGAGGAAATGAGAGAGGGGGGATGATGGAAAAGACTGAAGAGGCAGACTTAAAAGAAAGGATAGAGGAAATGAGAGAGGGGGGATGGAAAAGACTGAAGAGGCAGAATTAAAGAAAGGCTAGAGGAAATGGGAGAGGAGGGGGATGGAAAAGACTGAAGAGGCAGAATAAAGAAAGGCAAGAGGAAACAGAGAGAGAGGGAAAGGAAGAGAGAATGGAAAAAATGACGAAGAGTCAAAGACTGACAAAGAAAAGGCTAGAGGGAAAGAGAGAGGGGGAATGATGGAAAAGTCGAAGAGGCAGAATTAAAGAAAAAGGCTAGAGGAAACAGAGAGGAGGGGATGGAAAAGACTGAAGAGGCAGAATTAAAGAAAGGCTAGAGGAAATGAGAGAGGAGGAGGATGGGAAAAGACTGAAGAGGCAGATTTAAAAGAAACAAGAGGAAATGAGAGAGGGGAGGATGAAAAACTGAAGAGGAAGATGAAAGAAAGGCTAGAGGAATGAGAGAGGAGGGGAGGATTAAAAAGATTGAAGGAGGCAGAATTAAAGAAAGGCCAGAGGAAAATGAGAGAGGAGGGAGGAAAAGACTGAAGAGGCAGACGAAGAAAGGCAGAGGAAATGAGAGAGAGGGGAGGATGGAAAAACTCAAGAGGCAGACTTAAAGAAAGGCTAGAGGAAATGAGGAGAGGAGGAGGATGAAAAGACTGAAGAGGCAGAATACTAAAGAATGGCTAGAGGAAATGAGAGAGGAGGGAGGATGGAAAAGACTGAAGAGGCAGAATTAAAGAAAAGGCGGAGGAAATGAGAGAGGAGGGAGGATGGAAAAGACTGAAGAGGCAGACTTAAAGAAAGGCTAGAGAAATGAGAGAGGAGGGAGGATGGAAAGACTGAAGAGGCAGAATTAAAGAAAGGCAGAGGAAATGAGAGAGAGGGAGGATGAAAAGACTGAAGAGGCAGAATTAAAGAAAGGCAGAGGAAATGGGGGAGAGGAGGGAGGATGGAAAAGACTGAAGAGGCAGATTAAAGAAAGGAGGAAGGAAATGGGAGGAGGGGATGGAAAAGACCGAAGAGGCAGAATTAAAAAGGCTAGAAAAATGAGAGAGGAGGGAGATGAAAAGGAAGGGAGGATGTAATATAAATGAGAGAGAAGGTTTAGTAATATAAATGAGATAGAAGGTTTAGTAATATAAATGAGAGAAGGTTTAGTATATATAAATGAGAGAGACAATTTAGTAATAAATGAGAGAGTTTAATGTATAAATGAGAGAGAAGGATTTAGTAATATAAATGAGAGAGGGATTTAGTAATGTAAGTAGTAGAGACAATTTCTTTGTGTATAAATGAGAGAAGGTATAGTAATATAAGTAAGAGACAATTTTAGTAATATAAATGAGAGAAGGTTTAGTAATATATAAATAGAGAAGGTTTAGTAATATAAATGAAGAGACAATTTAGTAATATAAATAGGAGAAAGGTTTAGTAATATAAATGGGAAGACAATTTAGTAATATAAATGAGAGAGAAGAGTTTAGTAATACTCACGTGAGAGAGAAGAGTTTAGTAATATAAATAGGAGAGGAGGATTTAGTAATGTAAGTGAGAGAGACAATTTTCGTAATATAAATGGGAGAGGAAAGGTATAGTAATATAAGTAAAACAGAGAAATTTTAGTAATATAAATGAGAGAAGGTTTAGTAATATAAATAGAGAGACAATAAATAAAATGAGAGAGAAGGTTTAGTAATATAAATGAGAGAGAAGGTTTGTAATATAAATAGAGAGAAGGTTTAATATTATAAATGGGAGAACAATTTAGTAATATAAATGAGAGAGAAGGTTTAGTAATATTATAAGTAAAGAGACAATTTAATGTCTCGTGAGAGAAGTTTAGTAATATAAATGAGAGAGAGGTTTAGTAATATAAATGGGAGACAATTTAGTAATATAAATGAGAGAGAAGGTTTAGTAATATAAATAGGAGAGAGGAGGTTTAGTAATATAAACAGACCATTTAGAATACCATTGAAGGTTTAGTAATATAAATGAGAGACAATTTAGTAATATAAATGAGGGTTTAGTAATATAAATGAGGAAAGGAAGGTTTAGTAATATAAAATAGAGACAATTTTAGTAATATAAATGAGAGAGACAATTTAGTAATATAAATGAGAGAGACAATTTAGTAATATAAATGAGACAAAGTTTAGTAATATAAATGAGAGAGGTTTAGTAATATAAATGAGAGACAATTTAGTAATATAAATGAGAAGACAGGTTTAGTAATATAAATAGAGAGAAGGTTTGTAATATAAATGAGAGAGAACAATTTATTAATATAAATGAGAGAGACAATTTAGTAATATAAAGAGAGAGTAATATAAGTAAGAGAGTTTAGTAATATAAATAAGAGAGAGAATTTTAGTAATATAAATAGGAGAAGGTTTAGTAATATAAGTAAGGTTTAGTAATAAATGAGAGAGAAGGTTTAGTAATATAAATGAGAGAGAAGGTTTAGAATATAAATGAGAGAAGGTTTAGTAATATAAATGAGAGAGACAATTTAGTAATATAAATGAGAGAGAAGGTTAGTAATAATGTTTAGTAATATAAATGAGAGAGAAGGTTTAGTAATATAAATAGGAGAGACAATTTATTAATATAAATAGAGAGAAGGTTTAATAATATAAATGAGAGAGAATTTAGTAATATAAATGAGAGAGAAGGTTTAGTAATTGAGAGAGACAATTTAGTAATATAAATGAGAGAGAAGGTTTAGTAATATAAAAGAAGGTTTAGTAATTAAATAGAGAAGGTTTAGTAAATGAGAGAGGAGGTTTAATATAAATGAGAGAGAATTTAGTAATATAAATGAGAGAGAGAAGGTTTAGTAATATAATGAGAGAAGGTTTAGAATATAAATGAGAGAGAAGGTTTAGTAATATAAATGAGAGAGAAGGTTTAAGTAATATAAATAGGAGACAATTTAGTAATAGTAAGAGAGAGAAGGTTTAGTAATATAAATGAGAGAGGAGGTTTAGTAATATAAATGAGAGAAGGTTTAGTAATATAAATGAGAGAGAAGGTTTAGTAATATAAATGAGAGAGACAATTAGTAATATAAATGAGAGAGAAGGTTAATTTAAATGAGAGAGGAGGTTTAAATGAGAGAGAAAGGTTTAGTAATATAAAATGAGAGAATTTAGTAATATAAATGAGAGAGAAATTTAAATATAAATGAGATAGAAATTTGTAAATATAAATGAGAGAAAGGTTTAGTAATATAAATGAGAGGTTAGTAATATAAATAATATCAATTTAATGTAATGGAGTGACAATTTAGTAATATAAATGAGAGAGAAGTTTAGTAATATAAAATGAGAGAGGAGGTTTAGTAATATAAATGAGAGAGACAATTTAGTAATATAAATGAGAGAGAAGGTTTATAAATAAATAAATGAGAGAGACAATTTAGTAATATAAATGAGAGAGAAGGTTTAGTAATATAAATGAGAGGGAGGTTTAGTAATATAAATGAGAGAAGGTTTAGTAATATAAAATGAGAGAGAAGGTTTAGTAATATAAATGAGAGAGAAGGTTTAGTAATATAAATGAGAGAGACAATTTGAGAGAATAAGTAATAAATGAGAAGGTTTAGTAATAAATGAGAGACAAGGTTTAGTAATATAAATGGAGAGAAATTTAGTAATATAAATGAGAGATTTAGTAATATAAATGAGAGAGAAGGTTTAGTAATATAAAATGAGAGGAGGTTTAGTAATATAAATGTTTAGAGAAGAGAGTGACAATTTAGTAATATAAATGAGAGAGAAGGTTTAGTAATATAAATGAGAGAGGAGGTTTAGTAATATAAATGAGAGAGAAGGTTTAGTAATATAAATGAGAGAGAAGGTTAGTAATATAAATAGAGAGAAATTTAGAGAGAAAGTAATATAAATGAGAGACAATTTAGTAATATAAATGAGAGAGAAGGTTTAGTAATATAAATGAGAGAGGTTTAGTAATATAAATGAGAGAAAGAAGTAATATAAATGAGAGAGGAGGTTTAAGTAATATAAATGAGAGAAGGTTTAGTAATATAAATGAAGGTTTAGTAATAAAATGAGAGAGAAGGATTAGTAATATAAATGAGAGAGAAGGTTTAGTAATATAAATGAGAGACAATTTAGTAATATAAATGAGAGAGAAAGGTTTAATATAATAAATAAATGAGAGAGAATTTAGTAATATAAATGAGAGAGAAGGTTTAGTAATATAAATGAGAGAGACAATTTAGTAATATAAATGAGAGAGAAGGTTTAGTAATATAAATAAATGAGAGACAATTTTAGTAATATAAATGAGAGAAAGGTTTAGTAATATAAATGAGAGAGAAGGTTTAGTAATATAAATGAGAGAGAAGGTTTAGTAATAAATGAGAGAATGGTTTAGTAATAAATGAGAGAAGGTTTAGTAATATAAATGAGAGAGACAATTTAGTAATATAAATGAGAGAGAAGGTTTAGTAATATAAATAGAGAGACAATTTAGTAAATTTAATGAAGGTTTATAATATAAATGAGAGAAGGTTTAGTAATATAAATGAGAGAGAGGTTTAGTAATATAAATGAGAGAGAAGGTTTAGTAATATAAATGAGAGAGACAATTTAGTAATATAAATGAGAGAGAAGGTTTAGTAATATAAATGAGAGAAAATTTAGTAATATAAATGAGAGAAAATTAATAATATAGAGAGAAGGTTTAGTAATATAAATGAGAGAGAAGGTTTAGTAATATAAATGAGAGAAAGGTTTAGTAATATAAATGAGAGAGAAGGTTTAGTAATATAAATAGAGAGAGACAATTTAGTAATATAAATGAGAGAAGGTTTAGTAATATAAAGAGAAAGGTTTAGTAATATAAATGAGAGAGAAGGTTTAGTAATATAAATGAGAGAAAGGTTTAGTAATATAAGTGAGAGACAATTTAGTAATAAAATGAGAGAGAAGGTTTATTAATATAAATGAGAGAGGAGGTTTTAGTAATATAAATGAGAGAGAAATTTAGTAATATAAATGAGAGAGAAGGTTTAGTAATATAAATGAGAGAAAATTTAGTAATATAAATGAGAGAGAATTTAGTAATATAAATGAGAGAGAAGGTTTAGTAATATAAATGAGAGAGACAATTTAGTAATATAAATGAGAGAATATAAATGAGAAGGTTTAGTAATATAAATGAGAGAGACAATTTAGTAATATAAATAAAGAGAGAGAGAAAAGTAAGAGAGACAATTTAGTAATATAAATGAGAGAGAAGATTAGTAATATAAAGAGAAGGTTTAGTAATATAAATGAGAGAAGGTTTATAATAAAATAGTAATAGTAATGTTTAGAGACAATTTCGTAATATAAATGAGAGAAGGTATAGTAATATAAAATGAGAGAATTTAGTAATATAAATGAGAGAGAAGGTTTAGTAATATAAATGAGAGAGACAATTTAGTAATATAAATGAGAGAAATTTAGTAATATAAATGAGAGAGAAGGTTTAGTAATATAAATGAGAGAGAAGGTTTAGTAATATAAATGAGAGAAGGTTTAGTAATATAAATGAAGAGAAGTTTAGTAAAGAGAGAGAAAATTTAGTAATATAAATGAGAGAAGGTTTAATAATAAATGAGAGAGAATTTCAGTAATATAAATGAGAGAGAAGGTTTAGTAATATAAATGAGAGAGAGAATTTAGTAATATAAATGAGAGAGAAGGTTTAGTAATATAAAGAAAGAGACAATTTAGTAATATAAATGAGAGAGAAGGGTTAAATAGAGAATTTATAAATAAATGAGAGAGAGAAATTTAGTAATATAAATGAGAGAAGGTTTAGTAATATAAATAGAGAAGGTTTAGTAATATAAATGAGAGAGAAATTTAGTAATATAAATGAGAGAGACAATTTAGTAATATAAAATGAGAGAGAAGGTTTAGTAATATAAATGAGAGAGAAGGTTTAGTAATTTAGAGAAGGTTTAAATGGAGAATGAGAGAGAAGGTTTAGTAATATAAATGAGAGAGAAGGTTTAGTAATATAAATGAGAGAGAAGGTTTAGTAATATAAATGAGAGAGAAATTTAGTAATATAAATGAGAGAAGAATTAGTAATATAAATGAGAGAGACAAATTAAATAATATAAATGAGAGAGAGAAGGTTTAGTAATATAAATGAGAGAGAAGGTTTAGTAATATAAATGAGAGAGACAATTTAGTAAATATAAATGAGAGAGAACAATTTATAAATAAAAGGTTTATAAAAAATGAGAGAAGGTTTAGTAATATAATGAGAGAGACAATTTAGTAATATAAATGAGAGAGAAGGTTTAGTAATATAAATGAGAGACAATTTAGTAATATAAATGAGAGAGAAGGTTTAGTAATATAAATGAGAGAGACAATTTAGTAATATAAATGAGAGAGAGGTTTAGTAATATAAATGAGAGAACAATTTAGTAATATAAATGAGAGAGAAGGTTTAGTAATATAAATGAGAGACAATTTAGTAATATAAATGAGAGAGACAATTTAGTAATATAAATGAGAGAGAAGGTTTAGTAATATAAATGAGAGAGAAGGTTTAGTAATATAAATGAGAGAGACAATTTAGTAATATAAATGAGAGAGAAGGTTTAGTAATATAAATGAGAGACAGTTTATAATAAAATGAGAGAGACAATTTAGTAATATAATAAATTTAGAGAGAGAAGGTTTAGTAATATAAATGAGAGAGAAGGTTTAGTAATATAAATGAGAGAAGGTTTAGTAATATAAATGAGAGAGACAATTTAGTAATATAAATGAGAGAGAAGGTTTAGTAATATAAATGAGAGAGAAGGTTTAGTAATATAAATGAGAAATTTAGTAATATAAATGAGAGAGAAGGTTTAATGAGAAGAATATAAATGAGAGAGAAGGTTTAGTAATATAAATGAGAGAGACAGTAATATTAGAGAGAAGGTATAAATCAGAGAGA